TGCAGTCGTTCCCCAACTCTGCCCATCGCTGTTCCTTACAGTGTCAGGGCTGCACCAGAAGGAGGTCAGGCAGCAAACACTGCCATTTACAGCAGCCCAAGGAGGCAGTGAGATCAAGACCCAGCAAAGAAAAGGGCCTAAGAATGTCTGCATCCAGTGCCATATTCACAGAAATGTTTTCCTAGAAAACTCGCATTTTAACAAGGAAGGGCTCTTTTTAGGCCTTAGTTCTGCCCTTTGAGCAAGTTCTGTCTCTGTTCTGCAGCACTAAGGGACAGCCCTGCCTCTATAAAACACACTTCAAGGCAAGGCAGGGTGGAGGTAGAAATTCACAGCCACCAAATCCCCATTTCTACTTGCCCACTCCCTTCTATTTCCCTGTTTAATTACAGAAGGTGTTTCCAACTCACACAAATCTAGTACATATTTATAAATATTTGGTCCTCATCTACAGGTGCAAAAAGACACAAGAAGTGTAAAATACAGTCCCTGTCAGAAAAGGATTAGGCCCTACCAGAGGAAACAAACAAACAAAATATATATATATGTATATATATATATATATTTTTTTTAGACGGACTTTCGCTCTTGTTGCCCAGGCTGGAGTGCAATGGCGCAATCTCGGCTCACTGCAACCTCCGCCTCCCGGGTTCAAGTGATTCTACTGCTTCAATCTCCCAAGTAGCTGGGATTACAGGCGCCCGCCACCACACCCGGCTAATTTTTTGTATTTTCAGTAGAGACAGGGTTTCACCATGTTGGCCAGGCTGGTCTCTAACTCCTGGCCTCAGATGATCCACCTGCCTTGGCTTCCCAAAGTGCTGGGATTACAGGCATGAACCACTGTGCTGGCCTAAAAAATTATTCTTAAAAGAGCAAATACTATTTTGATATTTGTTTCAGGGCAATAATGCCACTGCAGTTCGAAGAGTATGGAATATATCCCCAGGAGCTGAAATGTTTTGGGGACATTTCATAAAGAGGTAGGTAGAAATGGAGCTGGACTATGGACAAGAGAGAAGCTGAAGGAAAAGGTCACCTCCACAGGCCATAGGTCACTGGATTCAGCCATGAGAGGATTTGTGTAAAGAAAGAGTACATATGGAATGTTTAGCAAACCATTTGGTTAGTGGGGATTAGGATAAACCCTGAGGAGGTAGGCTGGAGTCAGCTGGACTATATCTCCTTAAATGCCACATTAGGACATCAGATCTCATCCCATAAGCCTGTAGTAGTTCCTGATTTCAGTGCAGGATCTCCACAGTCTGCGCAGTGTGAAAAAGTCCTGAAATTGGCCAGGCAAGGTGACTCACATCCGTAATCCAGCATTTTGGGAGGCCGAGGTGGGAGGATCACTCCAACCAAGGAGCTAGAGGCCAGCCTGGGCAACAAGCAAGACTCCGTGTCCATTAAAAAAAAAAAAATTAAAATTAAGAATTAGCTGAGCACAGTAGTGCCCACCTGTAGTTCTAGCTATTCTGGAGGCTGAGGCAGGAGAATCACCTAAGCCCAGGAGTTCGAGGCTGCAGTGAGCTATGATCGAGCCACTGCACTCCAGCTGGGCAACAGAGTAAGACCTGTCTCAAAAAAAAATTAAGTAATTAAAAGTACTAAAGTTTGCCGGGCGCGGTGGCTCAAGCCTGTAATCCCAGCACTTTGGGAGGCCGAGACAGGCGGATCACGAAGTCAGGAGATCAAGACCATCCTGGCTAACATGGTGACACCCCGTCTCTACTAAAAAAATACAAAAAACTAGCCGGGCACGGTGGCGGGCGCCTGTAGTCCCAGCTACTTGGGAGGCTGAGGCAGGAGAATGGCGTAAACCCGGGAGGCGGAGCTTGCAGTGACCTGAGATCAGGCCACTGCACTCCAGCCTGGGTGACAGAGCGAGACTC